TGAAACTCCATATTCTACCACACATTCAAAGCAAATCTTTTTCTTTTAAAGCTTTCTTACTTGCTTACTCTATATAGAATCGATGTACCAGTCTACAGCTCACAGGATCGGTTCGTGCTTCATGGTTTAGACCAACGTTTCTAGCATTTCAAACAAATAATACTATTAAACGATTTTAGGTCATCTCTTTGTCAATTAAAATATAATGGTCTTTCTGAAGGTTTATTCGCTGTTTCGCGAACATCTCGTCGGTCTGCTATCCACTCTTGGGTAAATTTTTCTACTTGCATGTGCACGTTAGAAAATAATGACATTCATTTGTCTGCCTTTTGTTTTAAATTTTATACAAGTTTAATGTAATTGAAAGAAAAGCATTACATCTTCTATGCCCAATAATAAATTTTTATATTGATTCTAGTGGACGGTGTGGTTCACCGCTACCAGTAATCTGCTTTAGAGGATTTCTTGAAATTACTTCAGCCAGTGCACGAAGCTACTGGGCACATGGGTGAAAAAAACACAGACATGAAGGTATTCAAATTATCACTTTATTTTCTAAATATTGCGTAGGCAAACGTTCAATTTTATTCCCTGGCTACGTACGACACTTCTGGTCTCCGCGATTTAAAGTTGATTATCAAAATCACACATGAAAGTTTAGCTATAGGATTCAGGAGCAAATGTTTACAATTATATAGCTTAGGGTATATCCAATTACGAATGGAAAAAGCACGGCAGTATTACCTTGTTGTTAAAAACACCATCCATGTATAACGTTTTGAGCAATTTTTTGTCGTGTCTGAAAACTTATGTAAAGTAAAACTTGTTACAACTGTGTTCCAGGTGAAGCAACAGTATTGTGGGGTGCCCTACAGTGCAGTTACCAAATTTGTTCAAACCTGTTTGACATGCCAGTTGAGAGGATCCCAAAGAAACACTGCAGAGCCAGTGGTCATCGTAAGCCAAGGTGTATTCAGTAGATTTCAGGTATGTCTTCCTGCGTTAGAAACTTGTTTAAGTTTAAATAAACATGGATTTATATAGTTACTCATTAATTGAGTCAGATGCTTACTTGATATATAATAACTGTCTGTTACATTTTAAGAAGCATTTACATTTATATTGCATTATGAAATGGTTATGTGAATCCTAATCAAATGATTGGCTGGGAGTGGACACGTGACCAGGCATTTATTTTGTCTAACAGATTTGTGCTAACGACGAGTCATTATTTTTTACTAATGACATGTCAATAGTACTTTTTTACTATTTTTATTGGACGCTTGATGACGCCTCATAGGTTGATGAACGATCCCGCCATAATTAGTGGAGGCATAACTGCCGTTGCAGAGACAATTGAACAATTGTTTGTCTCTGGGCGTTCTTTTAATACGCGTGCGAAAACAAAAAATCAATAAAGAGAGTGTATTATAAATGATATATAATAAAGAGTGTATTATCAAATGACAAGGATTCACGTCCATTTTATAAAACAAATAATGTACATCATTTTGTTTGGGCATGCTAGTAAGAATCATCAACACTCGGTAACTTTGAAACAGTTCAAAACACACTGTTCCACAGTTACCTCGTGTTGATTATTCTTACTAACGCCCTCACTGATGTGCATTATTTGTATAGTATTCCTAATTTCCATGCACACCTGTATGTTTTCAAAACACACTGTTCCACAGTTACCTCGTGTTGATTATTCTTACTAACGCCCTCACTGATGTGCATTATTTGTATAGTATTCCTAATTTCCATGCACACCTGTATGTTTTTTTTTTACAGCTCGATTTAATAGACATGCAAAAGCAAGAGGTCGATGGCTACAACTGGATCGGTCACCTCATAGATCACGCTTCAAAATTTAATTTCATTTTCCCGCTGATGCACAAAACCGTTCAAGAAGTCAACACTGCTGTAAGAGAAGTTTTCGCCGTCACTGGACTTCCGTCGATCCTACAGACCGACAACGGAAAAGAATTCTCCGGACTCCAGAAAATTCTCGATGAGTGGCCTGGTAGCTGCAACCTAATCCACAGCAGACCCCGACACCCCCAGTCACAAGGGGCAGTGGAACGGGCTCACCGGCTACTAGAAGAAAGAATAACATCACTATCTGTAGAATACACGGGACCACGGCCTGGACCTTGGCCTAAGTGGCTACCGTTGATTCAATGTAGGCTACATTTATGGATTTCTTAGATTCCTAGATATATTTTTAGCTCATCTGACGAAGTCAGATGCAGCTTGTAGAATCGTATGATCGTCCGTGCGTCCGTCCGTACATCTGTCCGTCCGTCCGTGTGTCCGTCCGTCAACAGTTGGGCACAAATCTAAACCGCTCGACGTACGGATTCGAAAGTCGTGACGGGGGGGTAATCCGAAAACGAGTTGGGATGTCGAAGCTGAGGGTCAAAGGTCAGAGGTCAAGCGGTGTAACAGAAGGGGGAACATTCCCTCCTCAAGGTATAGGGAGGAAATGCACAATTGCGGCACAAATCTAAACGGCTCGACCTAGGCTCGTGATAGTTCGTGTATAGCATCATGGCAGGAAAAGCCATCAATGTGCCGAAATTGGAGGTCACAGGTAAAAGGTCAATGGGGCACAGGGCAGATTTTAGACATTTTCTGAGGACATGGTCTGACGGAGCGATTGAAAAACTTTTTNCAATAATAAATTTTTATATTTCTAGCTAACGGGCGGTCACCGTACAGTAATCTGTATAGAGGATTTCTATGAAACTATATCAGCAGTCCACGAAGCAACTGGTCACATGGGTGAAAAAAACACAAACATGAAGGTAAGCTAATTATCACACTTTATTTTCTAAATATTGCGTAGGCAAACGTTCAATTTTATTCCCTGCATGGCTATGACACTTGAACTGGTCTCAGCGATTTAAAGTTGATTATCAAAATCACACATAAAAGTTTAGCTATAGGATTCAGGAGCAAATGTTTACAATTATATAGCTGAGGGTATATCCAATTACGAATGGAAAAAACATGGCAGTATTGTCTGTTTGTTATAAACAGTTTAACACGATCCATAAAACGTTTTCAGCAATTTTGTGTTTCGTCTGAAAACTTATGTAAAGTAAAACTTGTTACAACTCGACTCAACCTCATAGATCACGCTTCAATATTTAATTTAATTTTTCAATTCAAGAAGTCAACACCCCTGTAACAACTGTCAACACTGCTGTAAAAGAAGTTTTCGCCGTCACTGGACTTCCGTCGATCCTACAGACCGACAACGGAAAAGAATTCTCCGGACTCCAGAAAATTCTCGATGAGTGGCCTGGTAGCTGCAACCTAATCCACAGCAGACCCGACACCCCCAGTCACAAGGGGCAGTGGAACGGGCTCACCGTCGTCTAGAAGAAAGAATAACATCACTATCTGTAGAATACACGGGACCACGGCCTGGACCTTGGCCTAAGTGGTTACCGTTGATTCAATGTAGGCTACATTTATGGATTTCTTAGATTCCTTAGATATCCTGAACTTCAAAAAAAAGGGATTTTTTTGGTTTTAATGGCATTAGGAATCACTAACAGCATTATAGCGATGTGTATATATCTCACATTTTTTTAATGAGTTAATAATCCGAAATTCTGAGTGATTTTAATTATTGTCTAGAGAAAAAATATTGTCTCCATTCATGTTATGTAGATCAAGCATTTATTCACATCGATTGGACTGGCAAAATAGGGCGTATAAAGAAGTAATATGACCATAAAAAGTGAACAGAAACTCGTATAGTATTTTCATAGATTTCATTTTGTAAAAATTACATAAATGTATTGTTTTCTGATAATATTTATGATGACGTACACACTTTAACATTACATGCCACTGATATTTGTTAAAACCCAAAAGTAGGATTTTTTTTAACATTTAAAAGCTTTTGATCGATTACCATGATTACATTATATTATATATTGTGTATTACAGATCAGATGAATACAGCTTATTCTAGGGTAATTAAGATGATGCCCTATGAATGTGTCTTTGGAAGAAAACCGCCAATGCCTGTTGTGCCGCAAAAAAGAGGTCGAGTGATTTCAGAGAGTCATGTCGTGCTAGGTAACTAAAACTGGCAGTGCTATTAGTTATAGTGCTATCAAATGCTGCAAGTTGATTAGGTTTCACTTTTGTCCATTAACCTAACAATTACAATAAGAAACCACTGTAAATGCTACAGCTATATTTCTAATATATTTTCAAACAAATCACCATGACATTCTTTATTTTAAAAGGTTAATAACAGCACCAGATGCACCGGTGACTGCTGGCAACATTTCATTGGCTCTGAGACCGTTCGTGCAGTCGGTGCTGGAAACGGTAGAACATCTTTGTTTGTTTTTACATTAGTAGTATAAATTTCTCGTTTATTTTGTAGAGACATTTCTTTTTCTGCGAATGTGTTGTAGTTTGAAAGTCCCAAACAATTTTGATTAAATAATAGCTTTAAAAAAATCTACAAGTATATTTGGCATTTGCAAGTCGTATAAATACGTAAGTCGTAGTTATTCTCTCCCGGTGCAACTAACGTATTTTCAAGTAAATTTCACTGTCCATACGTTATATGTTAATTATGCTACCAATATACCCCACACTNATGAGCAACTCTTGGGCAGCAACGTCTTGGGCAATAGTTGTCCCTTTGCACGTGTTTGGAGTCCTGATGGGCTGTCATCCATTCCGCGGCTCACCAAAACAAGAGTGGCAGCAAATACTGCCTACCTGCAATATGCAATTAAAAGAAAGGAACAACAAAAGAAGCAACCACAAACCGAATGTTTTTCATTTGAAGATCCGGTTACTGCCAAAATTCCATTACAAGACAGGCACAAATTTCAGACTAGACGCCTTCCCGCCGTAATCATACAAAAACATGGAAAAAAGACACTTTCCTTCCGACTCAGGTAATTATTCTCCTGATTAAGATGGTATGTAAAGCACCAAAGAAACCATATTCCACTTCTTGAGAACAAACATAAAAGTTCAGTGCAAAATTAACTGAAAAAATAAAGATGAATGTGATGACGCCATTTTCTGATGCCCAGTCGATTTTATTGATGATATGGGCGCCAATACCAGTTTGGGGTCCAGACGACGAAAACTGGAGTCGGCACACGAGGCCACGTATCCTAATTAAGGGAGGATATTGCCAGTTGTGCGCGAGTGCAGCACCACAACAAGACGACTAGTCAAGAATGTAGAGAAAAAAAAGAACTCAAACATGGTGACGAAGTATCTTAAAGCTCTAGGCATTGGGATGCTCAACATAGTGGAAAAGACTTCTCCTGTATGGGAGGATGTTCGGGACTCTAGGAGGCAAAATCTCAATAACTCAGCCAAGAGCCCATAGTGGAATATCTCAAATTGTCAACGGAAGTGGGCTTACACAGTATGTGCCACCAGGATTTGCATTGCCAACGGATGATTCTGCAAAAGCACTAGTTGCGTCGATGCAGAATAGGATGGACGTACCGGCTTGCTGGGATAGTGAGAATATTGACATGTACAGAAGAGGGTTCAATAATTCAGTAAAAAGGATCAAGAGCTCTGGGTTCCACGGGGGAATTTTTACGGCTGATGAGTTCAGGGAACAAGCAAACCGCAGAGGCGGAAAAGGAATGTTGGAAGACATCAGTATGCGGGACTACCTAGACGACAAAAATTTTGAAAAAACAACTAAATGCAGATAAGAAACGCTTCATTGAAGGGGACCCAACTCTGCGATACATTACTGCGATGGCGAAGTACGAAAGGAAAGAAAGTAGTGAAGCGGCAGTGAGACCAAAACCAAGGGTGATACAATATGCCCCGATCCCGGTACGTGTGAACATGCTACGTGTTGTAGGAAAGCTGTGGTCGTTCGTGATGTCAAATCATGATGCTCTTCCATTCATGGCGCCACCATATGGACAACTATGGATGGGAGGATACACAGAATTATTCTGGAGTGGATTGAGTCGTCCAGCGGCGGTTACAGATGACGTATCCAGGTGGGACGTACGAATGTGTGCACCGTATCTAACACTGGGAGTGTGAGAAGTTGTGCAGTTTGGTACCTAGTAAAAGGCTCTTTTTAGAAGAGTACTACTCAATGTGGATTGATGGAGTGATTCTTACACCGGATAGGCATGTCTTTATTACTGATGGACAGAGGGGAAGTGGCATGTACCCAACTTACTTTGGAAACTCAGTCTGTAATGCAGTTCAGATGGGAGTCAGGGCAGAAAAAGCAGGGGTTTGTAGTGTAGAGAATTTTCATGATGGAAAGGTTCTTACTCCCCCAGTCTCTGGAGGGATAGTAGATACTAGATACTCCAATACTCAGTCGTGGGAGGAGAGATAGACAAAGTCCTATAATATGCAAACGAAACTAGACACAGTAGAGAGAGTGGGTTCATTCGAAAAGGTGTTGGGGAAATGAAACCCTCAACCGTGGTGACACATGTCAAAGACATAGATTTCTGTTCTCACCAATACAGAAGAGTGAAGGTTGGAAACAAGAATGGAAACAAGAAGACCAAATAAGGTACACCCCCGAAAGTTGGCGACGTTTGTTGTTCAGCCTGGGAGGTGGAGAATGGAATTCATCAATTATAGCTAAAGGAGCACAGCTCCTCTGGTTTGGAATAGCAACCAGGGCCGTTGCTGACGAGAGGATAGATGCCGATGTGCTTGAGGGAACATATTGGACCCTGAAAACAGTATTTACCGGTCGCCCACTAGTACTAAAAATGCAGGAAGCTAGAGACAAGGTTGTAATGAAAGGAGAAGTGAGGCCCGTGGTGCCACTGAAATTGGCTAGAAGTTCGACGAAACTTTTCGGTATGGCGGAAACAGGTGGAGTACGCCAGTTCAAGGGGTGGCTCGGTGAAAGAGGCAGATTACCAAGGTTGGAAGAGCCTGCTAGAATTCTGTTCCTCGGATGCGGAAGTGGAGCCTGGTTGTATTGCGTTGACAAATTAGTACCAAAAAGTGTCGAATTCAACTACATGACTCTTAAGAGTAGGTCTGAGTATCCTAGTGAGAAACAGATCGAAAATAGAATAGTAAAGGACGTTGGTGGACTTTCTGGGAACATGACCTTCCAGACGGATGTAGACAAGATCCCAGGGAAATTCAACTGGATTTCAAGTAAGGCATGGGTCGTAGGGAAAGACGCAATAAACTTAAAGAACACATGTATTCTAGAATCACTTCGGAACACAAGTGGCAAATTAGTCAAAGGTGGATCATTGACCGTCGAGTGCGAAGCAGGACATGACAGGTACTGGGACCTACTCGACAGGCTTTCAGAGAACTTTGCGGCAAGTGATGTCGTGTACTCAAATCATAAAAAAACCATGGGCCATCTCAATACTGCTTGGATACAAAAAAGGGAGCCACCGGGTGCCTGTAAAAAGAAACCGGGTTGAGAATGAAATTATTCTTGAGTTGAGTACCACGACAGAGGAGAAAAGCAAACGAGTGGCAGAAGAAGTTCGACTTCTAGTTGAGAGTGTAGACTTAGAAAAATTGCTATATGGAAGTTTCCTACGGTACCGGCGGCGAATATTGCCAGACTGTGCACAGTGCTAGCACCACAACAAAGTCGACTTGTCAGAAGCTAGAGAAAGAACAAAGAACTCAAAACATGGTGACGAAGTATTCTTAAAGCAATCTAGTGCATCCGAGATGCGCTTTAACCATAGAACAGCTGAAAAGACGTTCCCTGTATGGGGAGATGTTCGCGGAACGTTAAGGAGGCATGCTTAGAATCGCAGCACAGTGCGCGTATTTTTTCAGGTCTAGGTAGGAAGAAAGAACAGGACGAAGAGAAGGGCAGAGAAAGCCTTTTACGTTTCGAGCCGAGCAGAGATAATGACCGGGCCAGGTGTGTGGCGCGCGCAACAGTGATCAGTAGCTGCGTTTTCAGGGTAGGTGAGAAAAACGGAGACCACAACGGAGGGAGGGGAATAAAACGGGCGAAGGAAAGAAAACGGGATTTCAGTTAGGATAGAGCAGGACCAGAGCACTACGAGGGAGACACCCGTGATTGAGGAATACAATAGCACAGTCTCGACCAGAGCGACCGCCCCGCCCCCCCGCTCCCCACCCACCCGCCCCCCCCCCCCCCGGGCGTCTACCGCGAACAGAACAAGCAAAGAGACGTTGAGAGGGGTAGACCGAAACCCGGCCGCACGCGTCTAATTTTAAATTAGTCCTACCGTGCCGTTATTAGGATCCGCTAAATTCATGACCGAACTGCCAGGGAACTTATGTATAGGATCTAGTAAGAAAGCAATAAAACTATAACCGACAGTTGAACCCGATCTAACTGCTGTTCCCTTCCCACTTCTACTTAGTTACTAGAACGCTACGGCATCCACCCATCCTGCCCTCAGCGGGCAGGAGCGAACATGCAATCCAGTATTAAACTCATCACACGCGGATTAACGGGCCTCGACCGCTTCAGTTTCAGATCTGGTTGTCCTGAATCGGGCCAACAAGTGAAGCCATTCTTACGTGGTCCGAATTTTGATTTTACTTTGTCCAAAAAAATGTACTTCGTGCAATGTAACGAGGCCGTTAGTGTCTCTTTTGGTTCAGCGTGCACATATCATTATTATCAGGAGTGTTAATTAATATAGAGATCTATATTATATAAACTAGATATATATATCATATATAACATATATAATGATAGATGTTATATATATTATATATACTATATTATACAATTATTATGACACTGCCTGACATTTTTCCAGATAGGGTCGCCTACGTGCATAAGCTCGCACTATACCTAGGCCTGTAGTCTGCACATCGCCCGTTTGCATGGCGTGCGGTCGCGTCAGGTGTAATTACATCAGTTACGGTATATATATACCGTATTTACTTGTGTATAAACCGCGCTTTTGCTACACAACTCGTCAAAGTTAAAAATAAATCACGCTGGTGGATGGACTTATAACAGACGAGGCTAAGAAATTTATGTTAATGAGTACGAACATGTTATGTACCAATTTTCAATGCGAAAAATATGGCGAGTGCGAGCTTATAAATATACATGAATATTATTATACACGCGTAAATACAGCATCATGTCAATAATCGTAATGAATTCAACACGTTTATGTTTGCATGCTGCGCAGGCTCATGTGTTGTTCAATTACCCGCATTCGCAGCTTTTTCCTCAATCACCAGGAAAGAGTTTTGGCTGTCAGCCTCTCATGCCCGCGGCTCCATCCCCCCCTACATATTCAGGAATGAATATGCCCGAACCGACTTAATAAACAATCGTTACCCCACCGCAGTACATAAACAATGCGCCCCAGCAGAGAGAGTACGACCGCTGCCGCTCTGAATAACATCTGTAATGGTAAACAGTGGGTGTCTACGGCGCTCTGCTTTTTTTCAGGACTTTGAAACGTCTTGAACGTGCAGAATGGTCGGTGCACGATAGCGCCTGCCTCAGAGGATGTTAAGAATATTAAACAACTAGAACTTTTCAGTTGTCCGATCGGGCAACTAGGCAAGAGAATAGCTTGTCCGACATAGACTTTCACTTGTCCCGGGCAATCGGACAACCGTTAGTGTCGAGGGCTGGTTAACTATATAACGCCTGTCATACCGTAGTCGGCTAACCCTAGGGCCACTACACTATTCTGCATAGTGTTTATTGTATTTAGGCAAAGAAAATTTCGTCTCTTGCTTATAAAATGTTTACTTTGACACATGTGCAAGAATTAGGTATTCGATTAGTAAAAGGAGGACATAACCTTCTAGTTTTGGGACAAGCAGGTATTTTTGATTTACACATAATACGTACTAATTAACCTACTAAACCTAGTCAATGGCTAATCCAGGGGGTGGCACAGCCACAGGGGGCAGTCGCTCCCCTAGAATTTTCAGGGCAATTAGGGTATTTTAGCCTAGATAAAACCCCCCTCGGGCGTTTCATACCCCACTCGCACCCCCCCCCTCAAATTCACTTCTGGATCATTCATGACACAGTAAATTCGTAATTCATGACAATTAATTTTTAGAAACATGCAATCAAGAGCGTATTAGGCAGAATGGTCGATTTAGAAAGACTTTATTAAGACGCTCTTGAAACAATATACACTGAGAGTCCATAATAAAGATATAATCTCTTAATATATACCCTTGATATATATTATATATTTATAACAATCATATATATAAACATGAATTAATATTATAAATTAGAAAATAGTTTAGCGTCAGCCAGATACGATACCTGACCTTAATTTGCGAATTAAGATTAGAATCAATAATATAGGCCCTATATATATTATATATATATGTAAACACGACATATTAGAAATTACAAAATAGTTTACCATCATACAATATCTGAAATAAATTTGCAAATTGAGATTAGAACTAACATATAGAAACATATATCAAGAATCCATCATTGAGATATGCTCTATTATGGACTCTGGATATAAAAACACGACATAATATTCGAAATTAGAAAATGGTTTAGCGTCAGCGAGATACGTTATCTGAATGAACGTTGCAAATTGAGATTAGACATTTTAAACTGATATGTTAGTGGTAGAATATTTGCTCTATAAATAAGTTTGTGCATGATTTTTCAGGTACAGGAAAGACATACCTGGTGAAAGAAATAGCGGAAACGTTAAGAAGCTTGGGGAAAACGGTTGCTGTTTTAAGCACAACAGATATGAACTACTACTAGGCTACTGCAAAGTGATTAATAACATGAAACTTTGCCCAATATAAAGATTTCGTAACCCGTAAAAAATGTAAACATTGAGCCATTTGAATGTCTGGGATTCAAAAAGAAGATGTTGCTGGCAAGTCGTATTGAAATCTAATAGCAAAAATAGGGCCGAATATGGAGTATGATACAGAAACATTAGCGTGTGAGTCAACGTTTATTTGCAAAATGAAATGATATAAGTATATGTTTGTTTGATAACCTTTATTTAACATATTAATTTAAAGTAAAATTAAAATTAAATTAAAAATAATTTTTATATGTATTTTGCTAACTTTTAGGTGTGTCTGCTAATGCGCTTCTGGAATATGGAGGCTCCACCATTCACAAGTGGGCTGGAATGGGAGATGGTCGTTTCAGTGGAGAACACCTAGCACACCTCATCAACACTGATAATGCATACACGGCAGTGAAAAACAACATTCTGTCAGTTAATGCCATCATCATTGATGAAGTCTCCATGTTGAGGTAGCAAACACTGGAGACCTTAGAAATTATCTGAAGAAAACTGAGGTCATCCGATTTCTTCTTCGGTGGCCTCCAAATAATAATGGCTGGAGATTTCTATCAGCTACCTCCAGTGCCAAGTCCAGAGTATGGTGACTATGGTCACTATTGCTTCCTATCTCACACCTTCATCTGCGTCCCACACAAGCTGCAGCTTGTTGAGGTACTTTGCCAGAAAGATGATGTCCTAATCACCTGCATCAACGAGCTAGCTAGGGGTGAATCTCTATCCCCAGGCTCTTGCTCTGTCCTGGCTAAGGTAGCTCGCCCTTTGAAGGCATCAGGTCAGCTTGTCCTTTTCTCTAGAAATTTTGAGGCTGATGTATTCAATGCAGAAAAGCTCAGCCAGCTGCAAGGAAAGCAGACCTTATACACGGCGACCGACTCTGGAGATAGGCAAACATTAAGAAGAAGATCTAGAGTTCCCAGGTATGTTGCCCTCAAAGTCGGTGCACCTGTTGTTCTGACTGCGAACATATCAGAACAGTACTTCAATGGCCTGTTAGGGACAGTTACTGCGATCACACCTGATGGCCCTCTCATAAAGTTTGAAGTCAAGGGTCATCAACAGGCAATAATCATCAGTCCTCACCTTTCTTCAATTTTTTCACCGGCACATCAGAAGGTCATTGCAACGAGGAAGCAGCTACCCTTACTGCTTGCGGTTGCAATGACGATCCACAAATGTCAAGGTATGACACTAACATCAGTTGAAGTGCACTGCCAGCACATCTTTGCAGCAGGCCAACTCGGAGTCGCTGTCGAAAGAGTAACCAGCAGGGAAGACTGTCACAGTTCCTATTCTGGACGGCAACGGAAGAAGACGTGCAAGCCGTACAGCAACAAGTAGCCAGATTATACGAAGACCAGACAGGTTTGACCAAAATTGTAAAAGAACACATAACAGTGTGAAACTTTACCAGGCTACAGACGGAAGCAAACACCAAGGGAATAACAAGATTGGCCAATGCCACAGAACAGATGGCCCGTACGATAGGACTATTGGAAGCAAGAATGAAATATACAAACAACTTAGTGACGACCGACATCATACGAGTAATAGATATCATTGGAACCTACCACGAATACATGAATATTATCGATAAAGCCAGAAGCACGTTGACAGTGCTCACACAAACAATCAACGACCTACTAGCTCATACCTGTCTATCCACACTACTCGCGCCTAAAGAACCATACCAAGCCCTTAACCACATCAAGCAGCAACTCCCGCCCGCATTTGAACTCGCGTACTCACCATCCACACAACTATTCCAATATTATACATCCTTGAATGTACAGCTAAAAGTCGCGCACGAGGCAGAAGTATTCACAGGGATAAAACGATTACCGACAGACAACACACAGCAATACCGAGCGCAGCTAAAACGATCAGCAAACCAAGAACAAGAAAAAAAACACAGTATCCAGCAGTCACGCCAGAAACAGGCACTCATTCCAGGACTCGGAAGACAACAATATTAGCAAGATGATGAACATACTAATTGTGTTACTAATTAACACAGTAATGTCTGGAATATAAGTTAGTTGACTGTGTGGACTTGCTCTAAATCTGTTAGTAAATGTAATGTCTGATATGTAATATCATATTGCTCTTCATCCATATCCACTACCGGCGACAACAGTACCAACGCCATGTTATTCAGTAGTATAGTAGAATAACAGTACTTTTTCTCGAATCTATACCGGAAATCGAAAAGAGGAAATTGAACAGTACACAATTCCCAAGGACAAATTTGATGCTAATGGTTTTTGTGATAAGAAGACCAGGCAGCGAACAACCGGAGTCTGATCGTATCAGTGCTGTCAATGCACAGTGCCCCAAGTGGGTATTTCACTTCTAAGAAACCATTTACCTAAATTGGACCATTACAGTAGATCACAAATTCAAGAAAGTCTCCGCTTGAAAAATTATGACATTACTTCACTAAATAAATCACAGATAGGCCTAGAGTGTGCATGTACATGTATATTCACACATGTAGGCCCTATACTGTACGCATAAAATTTAAAGGTGGATTAGCACATGTTATTAAATCAAGCTTATGTAAGATGGCGCCACCTTCACACAATTGCTACCATGGCCGCAGTTGTGGCCAGATCATAGCCAAGACATATTGGCCTCCTGGCTATGATTTGGACGCGACCTTTCACGACTGGCAAAATGGTTCACATGGAAACTACGTGTGTTGTAAACAACAAGTATCTCCATGCAAAGCACAGGTGTACGCGTGCAAGATGGAGGTATTTTTTGGCTTTTCATCACATTCTCATTTGGAAATTTCGCACTGAGCGTCATCAGATCCAAAACCGTGTGCTTGCAAAAACAAATGTTTACCAACAGAATCAAGATCCGGGAGAGGCGTATGCCCCTGCAGAGTCCGGAACGTGGTATGCACAAATCTCCTGTGATCTGGGAAAAATCGTAAGTCGAATTTTGGTGAAAATTTAGTTAGATCCATATTTGGACTTACTAGGTTTTACCTCTTCATTTGAGCAAGTTAAAGTGTGTGAAACTCTTCCCTGTTTACAGTTTTTCATCTGTAAGAACCTAGTATGTCCGCAAGTCTCAAGCAGGTCATGTATACTGATCTGCAAAAACCTAGCAAGTTCAATGAGCAATCACATTTGCTCATTTGTTCATGTAATCACATGGAAATGTGGCTGGTGGTCATGGCGATGATGTCCCAGAGGAAATGAATGAAGTCCCTCAACAGCCGCCAGACGTTCCAAGGCCAAAGTAAGTATACTGCAGGAGGTGGCACTAGCGATCAGGTGGCGCTAGCGATCATGGCGACAGGTGGGATTTTGTGAGCTCCGCAATGGCTGGGGTGTTGTGCCTATTTTAATCCGTGTACCTGCATATCTATGACGACCATCCAGTACAAAATAACAAGAGCCGCAGAGCGTCTGGGCTCATCTGAGGTCTGTTGCTACGATTATAAACGTAAAATTTCAGTCGTGCGTAGTACCACATTTGTTAGGCGCAGATATGCAGACACGCAGTTGAGTACACATCATTGTTAGGACACGCCCACTATCGCAGATGGAGGGTAGGGGGAGGGCGTGGGGGCGAGGGTGGGAAGGGTGCGGGGGAGGGGTGGGGAGGGGATAGGGGGAGGGTGGGGGGAGAGGGCGTCTATATAGCAAAAGCAGTCACTCCTCTTGTTAACATTCAACAAATCCATGTTATAACCCTCTCTTGAGGGTCAAAGGCTTATCATGACACATTACTCTTCGCACGTCAGTGGAAAGCGCACATTTCATGGTCCTTTCAATAAAGCCATAAAAAGGTAAGGTCAACCGCCTGAAACAAAAAAGTTTTTTCAAATCGCTCGTACACGAAGCCGGCAGGCCTGTCCTCCAGAAACGTGTCTTAAAAATCTGCCCTGTGCCCCATTGGACCTTTTACCTGTGGAACCTCCGATTCGGGCACAGTGATGCTCTTTTCGCTACCATGATGCTATACACGCGACTATCACGAGCCCTAAGTCGAGCCGTTAGGACTTGTGCCGCAATTCTGCATTTCCTCCCTATATACCTTAAGTTAAGAGGGAATGTTCCCTCCTTTACACCTCTTTGACCGTTTGACCTTTCTGACCCCAGCCCTTTCGACATCGCAACGCGATTCGGATTACCCCCCCCACGTCCGCCGAATATCCGGGTGACCGTACGCGAGGAGCCGTGTAGATGGTGGGCCCAACTGTTGACGGACGCACGGACGGACGCACGGACGGACGGACGCACGGACGGACGATCATGCGATTCTACAAGCTGCATCTGACTATGTCAGATGAGCTAAAAACTGGGCCCTACACTGTGTTGTGTTGGTGTGTCAATCAAAACTTGGGCCCTCAGAGTATCACAATGAAATATTTCGAAAGAGGACACTTTTATGCGTGCCGACAGCGTCCATGGTAGCATCAGAAGTAAAATGAAGAAGTCTCCCGAGATATGAACATTTCAGGATTTCGTAAATCTCTGCGACAAATCTGGGGCTAAAATCAAGTTAATCATAATGCAATACCATGATTTTTATGAATTTGAGGATGGTCACCGAATATAATTCATACATTAATACCGACATAATAATGTACAGTAGAGCCTACTTTCAGCATATTGGTTATGTACAGAATTTGTTGCCACAAAAAATCTAATAACATTTCAAGCCATGGGGCCCGTTGTCAGAAACATCGTAAAGTTAATGCTGAAGTTAATGCTACGATAACACTTACGACTAATGCTAATGTTGCGAGACTAGCGTTGACAGAAACACATCGCAGCTATTAGAAAACTTACGATGGCCGGAACTTCCTCCTTGTTCGAAATCCCGCAGTGCATTTCGGGAACGCAGACGATTTGTTTACATTTTGCAGCCGATCAGCTGTTCGCGCGCGACATACGAACTCATTCATTCATAACTCGAACATTCGTGCGTATACGTTTCAGTTAAATAAAACAATAATTATATATAAATAACATTTGCAATGGAATTTGAGAGTGAAAGACCGTTGGCGTCGGCAGAAGCTAAGGTATTGGATTAGTACTAGTATTTTACTGGCACTTTCTTAAATAATAATATGTTATTACTAGTAGTACTAGTAGTAGTACGTATTACTATTAGTCTACTACTAGACAATTGCTGAATGTTACATAACATATCAGGAGTCTATCAATATTGATAGACTCCTGAACATATATTTATGTTGTATATATGTTACGGAGTTATCTATCCATTTGATCAACTTTGTCTCTCATACCATTTTCGGTATATAGCCCATAAATTAATCAAGCGATTTGTCACGATTTGCCTACACATAATCCTGTGTAGACTGTTGGAGTGTTGCAACTTATAATCTGATACTGTAGTACTGTTTTGTGATGGCTCCAATAAAATATTATGTATTGAGAATAACTGAATATACGTATGCTGATATATATATTGAATAGAGGCGACCGAACTGGCGAAGAGAAGAAATTGAGGTTCTCGCCGAGGCCTGCCTGGAGAGGCAGGATGTGGTGCGTGGTCGCCTGTCGAATAATCTGACCGTCAACCAGAAAAATGACAACTGGCGAGAAATCGCAGACAGTGTCAATGCGATTGGCATGATGGACAGGCATCCTGCCGAAGTAAACAAATTTCTATTGCTAATATTATATATATATATAATATATAACATGGCAAATGGTATGTGCACATAGGTTTTTGATATCAATTATAATTAAAGAAATTTATGCAAAACGTGCAAACCTTTACATAATACATTTTTACAGTGCAAAATAAAGTGGACCAACTACACCTCAGAGCTCAGGAAAAAAGAGCGGCATAACGCAACAGAGGCGCGACGCACAGGTGCGCAGGCAACATTATGAAGCCCCCCTCCCCCACCCACACGAGTAAAGTAAAGCCATGTAAACACGAACAGTTACTGATTTTGGTGCATCTCAAAGTCAAAGTTGCAATGTTAAGGCTAGATACCTCCATTAATGCGTTCCTGTATTCATCAATCGATATCAGACGTGGCATACACGAACACTATCTAAAATCATTTACACTAGTTTTTCTGATTTAACAGGAGGGGGACAACCCTCAGTGATCCAGTTCTCAGACATTGAGAGCCAGGTCATCGAAGGTTACATACCTCCTGAAATTATTTATGGAGTCACGGAGGGAGTTGAAATAACAGGTAATGCTTCGTATGTATTGTTATACTAAAATTGATGTATCAAATGTATTTCCAACTGTTTATCTGAATTTTACAATGTCAATATTAAATCTGCTAGGGACAAGTACAGCTGATGCTAGTGGAGTAGCCATTCTAGAACCGGTGATTGTGGCTGGGCCAGGACCAGGACCAAGGCAGGCATCACCTCTTCGCAAAAGAGCGAGAAAGTCAACAGAAAGTAAATAAACATGTTATATTTAGTATTAGGTTCATTTACAGATAATATAAACATAATATGAATTTCAATCCCTAGTATAGTTTTTGTATGCAATGAAGTTTAGTGCAATTAAATGCAATAAAATTTAACTTGCAGGCTCATTTGAAAAAGAATACCTTCAATTAAAAAGGCAAGAGCAGATAGAGAGGTGTGTGATAATTAGTGGCAGCAGTTGCAATTTTCATTACTGAATATTATAAATGCTTGTGCATTGAATGACAAACTTAAGTTAATATTAACATCAATGTTACAATTGATTACGATGGAAACAACATTATATACTGTCCATCTTCATGACACTAAGTTTGTAAACTGTTTATAACATATAACAGTTTAAATCTAAAGTTAAGCATAATTTCAAAACCATTAATTTTGACAGAAATAGAAGACATGATGAACTGATACAGGAACTAAGAAACATTACAAAAGAACGTGAGTATTATTCATATGTCTGACTATAAATACAAAAATAATATAGATTAAAATTTTAAAATTAAAAAAGATGTAATAACTTAATAACCATTAATAACAATTTAATAAACTGTTAACTAGTTAATTAACTAGTTGTACAGCAACGTACATAACGATGACGTAGAACGCTGTCCAGAATTAGACGTAAATGGAAGGATAGTTAGAGATAATCTGATTCGAAATGCGTTTTAATGTCATTTACAGTGACCCAATTTAAAGTGACATACATATTTACGTTCACTCACCTGTTATTCTTCATGTGGGCATTTGGTAGCATTTCTACCATGACGTCGTTAAACGTTATGCACATGTTGTGCAAAACACAACATGCAACAATCGCCTTGCATGCCTTGCCTGCTTCAATGAAGAGGCCTCCTGATGATCTATCAAGGCATCTGAATCGGCTCTTCAGGATGCCATTGACCTGTTCAATGCTTACCCTTGTCCCCTTGTGAGCAGCATTGTATCTGACCTGTAATAATCAGCAGTATATCTATATATATATAGATATTCATGCATACATATAATGTAGCAGTTTCAACTGTCACATTTTTCTTGAAACATAAATGTAATAGTATTGACTACTTCCTATGCGCATGCACACATTCTATAATCTAGTAATTATTGTTAGGTCCACGTGGATTGATATCGCTCGCTCTTGTTCGCCAGTTCGTGTGGGTTAAGAAGCAACATGTACCAGCTCCAACATTAAACTACCTTTTGAGTTACATCACTCGTCACCATTGCTTAACAATAAATACCGATGCTACTAATTTACCTCTTGGTCGTTGTGAGGTCGCAATTAAGACAGGGGTCATGAGGTATGGCCTCAAGGCATACCTGTAAAAATAAATCCAAACTTGTGTGATAACCGGAATAAACTTTAATATCTTGCTCGCACACTGTAGTTACATCTTGCACAAAGACAAAGAACCTCTCACACCTGTGTGCCTCCTTCTGCGACCACCACCAGACTCTCGCACAGTTTAGCCATAACCCTGCATTCTGGTACAACACATTCACACTGATGTGTCAAACGGCTAGATACAAAAGATGCGTCGCGACACGCTCACTGCTAAAATAATAGTCTCTGGCCACATGAACAAACAGCTGTTACATACCCACTGTCTGCCAGAAGTAACCCCTTATTTTGCAGGTCTCCGTTCTCCATCCTCTGTTGGATATTAGAACAGTCGAAGACTGCCATGTCATGCGCAGAACCAGGGAATCGAGCCGATACTGCTGTAATCCTGTTCTTGTGGTCGTTGATCAGCATGACATTGATACTGTGGAACCTGTAACACATAATTATTCTTGTTGCTAACTTCTAACAGTTTTCTATTGTTGTGTCTAATATAATTTGTATTAACGTAACCTTTATTTTGCTCGTGATTGATTCATAATAAAATAATTGTGTCATATAAGCTCACCCTTTTCTGCACACAAATACATCTTCGTTTCGTGGAGGCGTTCGAATTGCAACATGCGTTCCATCCACACACCCGATGACAGCCGGAAACTGCCGCTTTCGGTAAAATCCAACCTTGATCTGATGAATTGAAATAACATTTGTAAAGCGATATTAAAATAATTATAAGTGTAAATAAACACAAAGTGACTCATACGTTAAATATACAATATAAATTGGTTAAGTCATTTGCTTAACTGTATGAATTCGTGTAACTTCTTCTGTAAAATATAAATTTTATAAGTGACAAATGTATTAATTGTATGTACAGTAATTACTAATTACCTCTGCCAATTGGTCTTGTGATATTGGCAATGCGATCCATTTGCTAGCAACATTTACAAGGCAGTCTAGCACTGCGTCCAACACTCTGCAAACTGTCGCTTTCTGTACACCCATCGCTTCTCCAATGACATTGTAGAATGCCCCAGATGCCAAGAAGCGTAGGGTAATACAGACCTGAAACCACATCAATACAAGTGGTATATAAACAGTATGCACGTACTGTTTTCTGTAATACGAAAACAGTAAAGATAACGAATAAGACCGCGATGGGCTTATGATTAGTTCTTAAGTTACAGTATTTTATTGTTGTACGTGAACGTTGAGATATACAGTTGGCGAACGGACGTAAAGCAAATACAAGCAAACTTTTAGTTGCAATTTTTTAACATTGTGTTTGTAGGACTTTCTTCAGAATTATTCAAGTCAAAGGAAAGTTATAATATTCTGTAGTATGTAACTGCACAAGTGTCCCCAAAACTTTGCCACCTAGCAGCCCTATAATATATACAGTAAAACTCGCATGTTATAAAGTCGACACTTTTCGCACCAGGGGCCCGTTTCATGAAGCTATCGTAAAAACACCATCTTAAGGATATCCTTAGAATTCTTGTACGAGAGCCTAACGCTGTCCTAAACGTCCCTCGTTAAAGTGTTTCACGAAACTTATGCCGGTGCGTTGTTAAGACGGTCCTTAAAATTCAGCTGTAACAATGTTGCTGGCGGCATAGACTGGTACCCTATCTACACCTTGCTACTAGATAGTCTATATATAGAGACATGTTACAAGTCTAATGGCGACCAAGTTCACTGTAAGTTGCTACGCCAATCTCTCGCGTCATTTAGTTTTATTAAATGTAGGTACAACCGCGTGCAAACTAAAATGTCAAATCAGGGAGTATGACAGTAAATTGCGACAGCCAGCTCGCACATCCTCTAGACCGTACACTGTGCCATCGGCATTTCTGATGACGACTTACAAATGGGAAATTACTATTGTTTGTATTACATGGGACCTGGCCGAGGGCGACGACTTGCACATAATGACGGCTCATAAATGATCTTGATCTTGATTATATACTGTGTCGACCGCGTATTCGCGTATTATGACGCAGGTGGTGGGGCATGGTGAAGTTATGCACTCCCGGCTGTAACCTCGACACAGATGGCGTCGATTGCGCTCTGTGTGCAGGCATTCCAATCCACGATGGTCCGTGGAAAGAATGAGTTTTTGAATTCCTCTGTTGAGGTTCTAATGACTGCCAGTTTGTTGTCGTTTTTTTTCCTAGTGCACGATGGACCCATTCTGATATACTGGACTTTGGGGATCGCGGTACTTCCAGAGAGAATTTTGTTGAGAAACTTGAGTTGCTTCTCTTAATTTTACGACGTAGTTGCAGGTTCGGCCAATTAAGTGATTGTAACATTGCAGTTACGCTATTGGTTCTGCCATAACTGTTGCAGACAAATCTAGCTGCGCGGGATTGGATCAGTTCAATTTTTTCTATGTCTCCTAAAATGTGGGTCCCAGACTGTACAGCCATACTCTAGCTTAGACCGAATTAGCCAGCCCAGGCTCTCTGACTGTTACATGTCGTAGGAACTTCTCGCCAACGTAGTGTTAAGCGAGAAGGGAACTTGTGGCTAAGACCGAATGAGAGATTGCATGACGGCATGATGACTTAGACGGGGCTATTCAGTATTCCAATGGATTTACTATGAGAGAAAATCGGGACTTTCACTTCCATGGCGACTTATACAAATTGACGAGTTAGAATATGACGACTTATGAGAGTTTTACTGCATAATATAGCCATACTGCCAATGTCCACTTCCAATGAGGCTAAGCCTATTTTATTACTAGTACTACCTTAGTACAGTAGGCTGACAGTACTAGTACTAGTACTAATAATATTTAATAATAAATGTAGGCACAATGTTCAAACTACGCAAGTATTAGTATCACTAATGCTATATAATAAGACGGACAAGCTAGATAACTAATTAGACTAAACAAGCGTAAATAAAGGAAACAAATAAGCAATTGAAATCGCAATCAAGCAGCTGAGCTATGGCATCGCATCGAGTAATATTTACATTGTCACAGAAAATTGTCTGCGCGGAAATATTCGTGTGTGCGCCGAAATCCCTGTACAAAACTGACATGAGCCCTTTGTAGATAAAAAAAACATTCTTAGATCAATTGAAATGTTAAATAATTAAAAAAACAAACGAAACTTACCTGCAAAATTGGCCAATGCGCAGTGTCCGCTAGTTTGTCGTTGTAGCATCTCGGAAAACATTTCGGTAACCGGAACACGGTATTACGCGTAACGCGAAAACGTTCGCGACACGTCGCCTCAGTGAGATCCGCCATGTACTCAGCAGTATCTTTTCTAATTAAATTAGGTTGTCGTGTGTAAATAACGTTTACTTGTGCTCTTCTGCGTCTTACTATCATCGCCATTTTGTCTTCCTCGAGTCAAACTTACGAGGAATTAGGAAGTTACGAGAGGGTCTGGGCTCTCGTAATGTTATGAGGATATTTGCGAGGATTTTTCGTTCTCGCAACATTACGATGTTTCTGTCAACGGTTTACGAGTGGAAGTTAATGGTAAGACTAATGTTGCGACTAATTTTGTTTCTGACAACGGCCCCCAGGAACGCAATCTACATCGTAACTTAGTGTAGCGACCTCCCGGTCAGTGGTCGTACATTGTCGTGACGTACGTCCTCGCGGCGCGCGTCAGCCTGCGCAGCCGTGCGTCACCGTGCGTGACGGACGCGCGCGGTAGCGACCTCCCGTCAGTGGTCGTACATTGTCGTGACGTACGTCCTCGCGGCGCGCGTCAGCCTGCGCAGCCGTGCGTCGCCGCGCGTGACGGACGCGCCGCGGTAGCGACCTCCCGGTCAGTGGTCGTACATTGTCGTGACGTACGTCCTCGCGGCGCGCGTCAGCCTGCGCAGCCGTTCGTCGTCGTCGCCGAGGAAGGTCACGATATACGATAAATATATGTACATACATACATACCAAATACATGCAGTTATTCAATTAAAAATGACAACAGTTTTCAGTCTCATTATTTTCCCTGCAACGCGCGGTTGTGATGTCTCATTTCCTCACAGCGTCGAATTAAATTATCTATACAGATATTTGCCGTTGGTCGGCGCTAGTGTCGAGCTTGAAAGATAGTGCATGACGACGTACGAATAATCTAGTATCTTATATAATAATCTAGAATTTTCTGGAAATTATTCAATTAGTTCTGAATGCCAAGCCACGTCTTAATAATTAAAACTGCTCAGTGTTACTAACTTCCTTGTAACATGGCATGGCATAGCCTAAGCTCGCGCGCGCTTTCTCTCTTCTCTCTCTCTTCTCTCTCTCTCTCTCTCTCTCTCTCTCTCGGTTCTCTCTGTCTCTCTCTCTCTCTCTCTCTCTCTCTCTCTCTCTCTCTCTCTCTCTCTCTCTCTCTCTCTCTCTCTGTCTATCTATCTCTCACTCCCTCTCCCTCTCTCTCTCTCTCTCTCTCTCTCTCGCTCCCTCTGTCTATCTCTCTCTTTTCGCTCTCTCTCACGCTCTCTCTCTTTCTCTCTCTCCCTCTGTCTATCTCTCTCTCTATCTCTCTCTCCCCCTCTGTCTATTTCTCTCTCTCTGCGCGCGCGGGGGAGGGGGAATCCCTCTGTATGTGGAAGCGTGCGCGTGCGTGTGTGTGTGTGTGTGTGTGTGTGTGTTTTGTGTGTGTGTGTGTGTGTGTGTGTGTGTGTGTGTGTGTGTGTGTGTGTGTGTGTGTGTGTGTGTGTGTGTGTGTGTGTGTGTGTGTGTGAATGAGGAATTGGAGGAAAGAGGAACGGAAAAAGAATGTTGATGAAAACAGACAGACACTGTGTGGGATTTCTCTTTATAAATAATTGTGTCATCAGAAATACACACCATCAAAATGCATCGAAAAAGCACTTGATATCATGTACCTCGCGATAACATGCATGTAAGTTGTTAATGCAAATTGTGCGTTTGTTTTTAATCGAAAAACGCTTCAAATTGGAAGTCTTGAATTCTTGTTGATTCTGTGAAATACAAAGTAAACTGCATTGCCAACACTAGCCACACATAAATATTAATCATCGAAGAATAATAATGGTCACGTACGACATACACACGCACAGGTACAGATCTTATACATATTTCATCAACATATGCAGTACATTTCGATGATAAAACCTAGACAGGTATTTGACTTAGTGGTATCTGATCTATGACGCTATAGTGCGAGTGAGACGGCTAGCAGAGGAAGATATGTTGAATATATATATATATATATATATAAATTTACATATATATATATATATTAAATATATATATATATATATATATATATATATATTATATATATCATCTTAAATAATATCTTAACATAAAGTAATCGACTTCTATACATGCTGAATTGTGAGCACACGGACCCCAGATTGTGTCTTACTTAAGCATAACCTG